TTTTAAAACAATTTATTTTGTCAATTTTTAAATTTACTATAGTTAAAATTATAAATTCTTCACGGAGAAAAATGGAAAATTAATGATAATTAAACTTATTATGAGGAATGTAAATTTAACACTCCTCAGGTTAAGATATAAACAGAAGAGTGTCAACTTTTTCAAGTTTTACACTCCTCATAGTAAATTTGATTATTCTTTTTTCTCAGTGTTCGTTTTTCTCAATTGTGCAATTTTTGATAACTTAAATATTATTAAATTGAATTAAATTATTTTTTAGAAATTTTAGAAAAAACAAATATTTGTTCCATTTTTGGACATGTGAAAAATAATATATACAAGTAAATAAGATTTTATAAAAACAGTGCATACGTGGCAAACGTATTAAAAATTTTGTTTGTTAATATTTTTTGTACATAGCATTTTTGTCACGTTTGCCGTGCACGATTCAACCTTACTTGCATGCATTTATTTTAATTTTGTTATAATTATGTGGTTGAATTATCTACACTGATTATTGGTAAAAATCCAATTATAAACTACAATAAAGCAGTTGTTATTTTATATCACAGTGATAGAAAAGTCGTAATTCACGGATCCTGATGTGGCCGTAATGCAAAAGTGCATGATCTTGTTGCAAGTAATAATATTACAGACTGTACGTGCACGGTTTCACGAAATGTGAATTTTTTAAATTATTTACACTGTTGTTAATAATAAAACGTTTTATGTAATAAGCTTTATTAAATTGAATTAAATTATTTTTTAGAAATTTTAGAAAAAACAAATATTTGTTCCATTTTTGGAAATGTGAAAAATAATATAGGGTAAATGCACTAGTAGTCGGACACTTAAGGATACAATCTTAAATTATGCTTTTTTTCTTGAAATAGCAAATATCTACTGTGTTTATAAGCACATTATTAATTAAAGGAGTTCTTCAGGATTAAAAATCATATAAATTTGTTACAAATAGTTGAGTATTTAATAAAATATAAACATTTTAATAAAAAATTACGAATGCTTTAGTAGTCGGACACTTTTTCCCCTTGTTTCTATAGTCGGACATCTTTTAGATATGTTGAATTTATAAAGTGAAAAAGATAATTTTTTAATTGCTATCTGCTGGAAAATGGAATTAAAGCATATTAGAAGTTATTAATATAATATTTAGACCCTATACGTTTTAATATTTATGATTAATTATCAACAAAACTTTGTGCCACTCATAGCGCTACTCGAAAATGGTTGTATCTATAGTCGGACACCATGATTTTTAAAACATTAAATAAAATATTTCTTGTTTAATTATTTTCGAAAATAACACTATTTTAATAAAATATAAACTTCACACATTCGTCTAGTATACTTTTTAAAGTAATTATCACAATGCATTATTATTTATTTGCCAAAAAACACGAAAGTGTCCGACTACTAGTACTGTCCGACTATACCCGCACTTACCCTATACAAGTAAATAAGATTTTATAAAAACAGTGCATACGTGGCAAACGTATTAAAAATTTTGTTTGTTAATACTTTTTGTACATAGCATTTTTGTCACGTATTTGCCGTGCACGATTCAACCTTACTTGCATGCATTTATTTTAATTTTGTTATAATTATGTGGTTGAATTATCTACACTGATTGTTGGTAAAAATCCAAGTATAAACTACAATAAAGTAGTTGTTATTTTATATCACAGTGATAGAAAAGTCGTAATTCACGGATCCTAATGTGGCCGTAATGCAAAAGTGCTTGATCTTGTTGCAAGTAATAATATTACAGACTTTACGTGCACGGTTTCACGAAATGTGAATTTGTTAAATTATTTTTTAGAAATTTTAGAAAAAACAAATATTTGTTCAATTTCTGGACATGTGAAAAATAATATATACAAGTAAATAAGATTTTATAAAAACAGTGTATACGTGGCAAACGTATTAAAAATTTTGTTTGTTAATACTTTTTGTGCATAGCATTTTTGTCACGTATTTACCGTGCACGATTGAACTATACTTGCAAGTATTTATTATAATTTTTTAAATACTTTATAATAATATGGTTGAATAATCTACATTTTAATTTTGGTTTAAGTTGAAAAATTTTTACTAAAAATTGATGAATATTTTACCTCTAGAAAGGTAAATGTCATGTCAGTATTTACATGGTCATCATAAATGTGTTTCAGATTCATTTCATCTTGTCTAAATAGTACTAACAAATTAACATTATCCCGAATTAAATGTTTCGGAATACGTGCATATGTTTGACATAAATAAAAGCAATCGACGGCCTTGTGCCGTCCCATAGCAAAGAAAGCTTTAATATTATCTTGCTTTTCACAAGCTACGTCATCAAATATGAATATTGAGTTTGGATATGCTTCATTTGGTGTAACAACATCCGCATGTTCGTTGAATGGAAAGTATTCTACACCATCTATTGGTTGCAAAATATTTTCCAAAAATTTATATTTTGGCTGATTTAAGGATTTTGAGTAAACATAAATATTTTCAAATCTTAATTCATTTGGATGTGTTAGTAAAGATAATAAAGCGTTTGTTTTTCCACAATTGGATGGTCCACAAAATATTGCACGTACACTATTTGGCAGTAAATTGCCATGTCGATTAACCTGTTTATCGTTACAGTTTTCAACAAGCGTGTCAAAATTCCCAACAGGTAATTTAATTGACTGTGCTTCGAACTCCATCTTAATGAGAACTGACTTAAAAAATTATAAATTACATGTTTTTAAAAATTCATTTTAGTGTAGATTTACATACCATACATAATGGTACAAGTAAAAAAAAGGAAAAGCGATTGTAAAAAAGGATCAAAAAAATTGAAACGAGGAAAAGGTATCCTAAATAAATTAATAAATAAGCTACCAGTAGAATTGCATATTCCTGGCTATCAATACTGTGGTCCGGGTACAAAGTTAGCAAAACGAATTGCGCGGGGTGACCCAGGAATTAATCCTCTTGACGCTGCATGTAAAGAACATGACATATCTTATTCGAAAAATAGAGAAAATATTGAGGCACGAAACGCTGCTGATAAGGTTCTCGCTGAAAAAGCTTGGAAACGTGTTATTGCTTCAGATGCAAATATTGGTGAGAAGGCAGCTGCTTACGCAATAACTAACGCCATGAAAGTGAAATCAAAATTTGGTATGGGTCTCAAAAGAAAGAAAAAATCTGCAAATCTAAGAATGATTGTTTCTGCAGATAAAAATTCCATGAGTCCAGATTTAAATGTAAATACAGTAATTAAATCTGCTCTTCGTGGAGCACGCATAGCTGTAAAAAAGGCAGGTGGAAAAAGAAAAGTTAAGAAACCTCGTATTTTCCTAGTATCAAGGAAAATAGGTGGAGTTTTACCTTTTCTTATCCCCATTTTTGCTGGGTTGAGTGCTGCAGGTGCACTAGCGTGAGGAGTGTCAGGTATAGCAAAAGCTATAAATGGTGCAAAATCTGCTAAACACGAACTTGAAGAAAGTAAACGGCATAATAAAACAATGGAAGCCATTGCTTTAGGGAATGGGCTTTATTTTAAACCGTATAAGCAGGGACTGGGACTTTATTTAAAACCGTTTAAACAAGGATTAGGAAATAAAGATAAGTCAAAAAACGTAAAGTGAAGCTACCTCATCGTGCATTAACTGATGCTGATTTATTTAAATTTTCTAAACGTTTAAAAATTCCATACTTTCGAGGAGTTTTCATGAGAAATGAATTACCATTAAATGGTCCTCGGAAATATGAATCAGCAATAATAAATCTGGATGATAAAAATAATCCTGGAACGCATTGGTGTGCTTATAAAAAAAATAAAGATGAAATTATCTACTTCGATAGTTTCGGTAATCTTCGACCACCTTCAGAACTTGTTCGATATTTCGGTGTTGGTAGCATAAAATATAATTATGAAAAATTTCAAAACTATAACTCTTATATTTGCGGGCACTTATGTTTAAAATTTTTATGTAATCAGTTAAATGTTCGTGATAATTTTGTTATACATATAAAAAGCAAATAATTGTCAATTTTCAAGTCAGTTAATCATTGGAATTTACCATGAACGATTCATTTATATTAACGCTATCAGGAAATTCTTCCACGTTAGAATCTCAATATTTTCCACCAATTGAGTTATCCTCTTATAAAAATTATGTTCTTGGCCTTGTTGAATTTTTGAGTTTTAATTCTATTCCAAATATAGATCATGGTAAAAATAAATTTTATGTTGGTGATGAAGAAATTATTCTATCAACAGGTAGTTATGAAATAAGTGATATTGATCAATCGTTGCATTTAAATTTAAAAAATAAATGAATTTATTGTAGAATAAAACCTAATAATAATACTTTAAAATGTACGATTTTCTGTGACAAGGAAATTAATTTTGAACCTAAAGACTCGATTGGCAGTTTCTTAGGAGTTTCACAACGCAAATTAGTAGCCAATGAATTCCATGAATCAGACCAACCAGTATCGATAATTAAAATAAATTCTCTAAGAGTGGAGTGCAACATAACTACAGGGGCCTACATTAATGGTAAAAAAGTACATACTATTCATGAATTTTTTCCAACTGTGCCACCAGGATATAAAATAGTCGAAGTTCCAAATCAAATCATTTATCTACCAGTCGCAGTCAAGACAGTAGATAATACTCAGTTGCGAATAGTTGATCAAGATGGAAATTTAGTTAACTTTCGTGGAGAAACTATAACAATTAGATTGCACATTAAATCTGTTTAATAATGGGAATTGTTTTCTACCCTAGACACAAGATTGGTTTCGGTTATAAAATCGAAAAACCATGCCAGAAACAAATCAGTCAACGTCAAATTTTGAAGCGATTAACACCTCTCAATCGGCAACTGCTGAAAAGTCTGGGTCTCAAGGTCGCAATAGAAAGAAGATAAAAAGAATTAAAGTTTTGTTTACATGCATATGTGTATTTGTGTACAGAAGAATTTTGATCTGCTATGGAAGAATCAATTTTAGACATTAATTTACCAATAATCTTTGATGAATCCATTGCACATTGTGAAGTGCATGCGCAACAGCTATATACTTCATCAACATACAATAACAGTGACGAAATCCGAATTACTGTGCAAAATCAAGACCATTGTCTTCTTCCGAGCAAAAGTTCAATTCATATAAGCGGAAAACTTGTTAAACTTGATGGAACAGCTGTAGCAAACACAAATTTGATTTGCAATGGTGTGTGCAATTTATTTGAAGAACTTAAGTATGAACTTAATGGAGTGGAAATTGACAAAAATAAAAATGTAGGCCTTACAAGTCTAATGAAAAGTTATGTTTCTCTTAATGCTACTCAAAATAAATTACTTGAAAATGTTGGTTGGTTAGAAGTGAATAATGATGAATCAACATTAACAAATGCACATGGATACTTTGACATTAGTGTACCTTTAAGCATGCTATTTGGTTTTGCTGAAGATTACCAAAAAGTTATTGTTAATGCTAAACATGAACTCATTCTTACGAGAGCGAGGAATGATAACAATGCAGTCGTTCAAACAGCACCTCTAGAAGAATTTAAAATTGTTATTGAAAAAATTGAATGGCTATTGCCTTACATAAAATTGTCAGATTCTAGAAAATTTAAATTATTGAAATATATTGAAAAAAAAATATATTGAAAAAAATCAATTCCAATAAGTTTCAGAACTTGGGAATTATACGAATATACTTTATTACCAGCTACTCCAAAGCATATTTGGAGTGTAAAAACTTCAACTCAATTAGAAAAACCTAGATTTGTTATATTAGGTTTTCAAAGAAATCGGAAAAATAATACAGCCTTGAATTCAAGTCATTTTGATCATTGTACAATATCAGATGTCAAGTTATATTTAAATGCACAATGTTATCCATATGGTAATATGAATTTAAATATTGATCAAAATCAATACTCTACTCTTTATGAAATGTTCACTAATTTCCAAGCTTCTTATTATGGTAAAGAAACACAACCTTTATTAACAAAAAAGGAATTTTTACAATATGCACCTTTAATTGTCATAGACTGCTCGAAGCAAAACGAATCATTAGAAAATGGTCCAGTAGATATACGATTAGAATTTGAAGCAAAAGATAATTTTCCTGCACATACTTCAGCTTATTGTTTAATTTTACATGATCGTATAGTGGAATATAAGCCAATAAGTGGAATTGTGAAAAAAATTGTTTAAGATAATATACTGTGAGAAAAGCTATATGAGTGGGAGTGAGACAGACTTAAACAAAACACATACTTACCTGTAAATGATATGAAGCTTTTTTTATTCTATATATGGAATAAGTCTTTTAATCTTGTTTTTTGGTTAAAAAGTTTTCTATTCTATGTGCTTCTATATGAATATGTATATTTTTCTTATATTTCAAATAAATAAAATATTTTAAAAAATTATTCTATTAATCTTTTTTTTCTGAAACATAGACAATTTAATTTTAAGCATTAGAAAAAAGTCAAGTAGAGAAACAAAGTTGTATAAAATATTACAAATTATTTGTTTCTTATTAAGAAAAAAGAGTTATATAATGAAATGGTCCTCTTTCATTATCAGCATTCCTCGACACAAGAGAATGAATGAATTGAAGCAAAGAATAAACGTATACGCATAAAGCCTTGAACGTTGTTGATCTAGTAAGCACGTTTCTTTTACTTTATTAGAAAGTATTTTCTTTTGAAAAATTAAAAAAAATTCAATATTATTTAGTCTGCTTACTAGTTTATTAGAAAATCAAATAAATAATTACTATTTTTTCTACAAATTTAAACAATTAATAATTAGGTTTTTTTAAAAAATTGAAATTTTTAATTTAGTAAAAAATATAATAATAATAATAATAATAATAATAATAATAATAATAATAATAGTAAGGGAATAAAATAAATAAATAACCAAAATTTAAAAGGAAATTTTTTTAATTATCATTAAATTTGTTACAAATAGAAAAAGAGTTTAAATGATAATAATATTCAATACTAATTTTATTTCAGAATATTATTATTTAAAATTTAAGTGATTTTTTTGTATATTAATCGTTTGATTATTATTATTATTCTTTTTTCTTTAATGACAGGTCCAATGGTTCGTCCGCAATATCCGTTTTTATATAAATCGGCTCTTCATAAATTTCAATCTCATCTTCGTCTTTTTCTTCTTTAATTGTTTCCAGGTTTGATTTAATTTCTTTTTCAATTATTACTTTCGTATCTACGTCTGCTAATGGATCTTCTTCTTCTAAATTTGCTTTAACTTGCGGAACTTCCATTAATTCCTCTTCCTGTACAGTCTCTTTATTAGCCAAAACATTATTTTGAACTGCATTTTGTGGAACAACAAAAATGTTGTCGTCACCTGCATTTTGGGTGACAACAATGCTACCATCATCGTTAACATTCCTGGGTGCAGGAGGAGTGTTATTCCGCTTTTCAGATTCGCCAACCACCCTTTGGAATAAGAAAGTATTGAAGCTGCTGCGCACAATTTCTGTGATGGTTCCCTTGTATTTAATATAATGTTGTGGTTCTTCCGATTTTTTGAATTTGTAGCCAATCGCCGTAATTAATATGTCTTTCAAGAACTGCCCAATTTGGGGATCAATACATTCTTCCGGGATTGAGCAAAAAATGTTCATATTGACGTAATCTTCTCTTGTCTGGAACATACAATACAAATTCTTGTTAAAATTTAAAAATTAATCAATTATATTTTTGTTAAAATTTAATCAATTATTTTTGTTAAAATTTAGAAATTAATCAACTCAATTTTAAAAAATTAAATTAAAATTATTAATTAATTAATTTAATAAAAAAATAGATAAATTTAAAAAAAAATGTATTTAATTAATTTTTTGAAATAAAAAGTTAAGCGTATACGCTTAACTATTATATTATAATAATATAATAATATAAGCGTATACGCTTATTTATATATAAATGTAAAAAATTAAAACACACCATTATGTTGTCCACGATGTACCCGCTTCTCCGCAACCAGTAACCGCACACCGTCTCCATTATTGTGGCCGATACCCCTTGAAATTCCAAGTGAAACAAGGTACATATGGTAATAGGCGCCCCATCATTTTATCCTTTAAGACTGTTGACAACCCAATGAATGTCATTCTCATCAACTGCTCCCTGCTAAATACCGGTGACCATTCCATTTTCTAAAAAATTATTTTTAAAATTTAATAAAAAATTAAATTACTTAAAAAATCAACAAAGGAATTTAATTTAGAAAAAACTCTTTTAACTTCTAAGATATAGAGATAAAAACTATTAAAACGAAAATTAAATAAACAAAAATAAACTACAAATAGTACATAAAATGAAAAAAAACACACTCATAATTTTGAAAAATAAATAATAATAAAAGCACAAAAGTTTTTGCCTTAGTACAACTAAAAACAATTATTAAAAAGAAAATCAAATCTAAACAAAAATATTTTTAAAACAATATAAAAAATTCAAATTATTTAAAATTTAATAAATGAAATCAATTTATAAATAATAATAAGCACCAAATTTTTTTTAAGTACAACTTAAAAAATTATTAAAAAATAAAAAATTGAATAAAATGAAATCAAATACAAATACCTAATAATAATAAATTAAAGAAGAAAGCACTTAAAGAATATTTTTAAAACAAAATAAATAAATAATAATAATGAAAAGCACCACAATTTTAAGTTCAAATGAAAATAATTATTAAAAAATGAAAAATCGAATTAAAAAAATTAAAAGAAATCAAATACAAATAAAGAAACATCATAAAATTTTTAAGTACAACTTTAAAAAATTATTAAAAAATAAGAAAAATCAAATAAAAAGAAATCAAATACAAATAATAATAAATTAAAAGAAGAAAGCACTTAAAAATAATATTTTTAAAATGAAATAAAAAATTCAAATTATTTAAAATTTAGAAAATTCTATAAACGAAATCATTTTATAAAACACATCACTTTGAAAAATAAATAATAAATCGAATTAAAATAATAATAATAAAAACAATAAACAATTAAAGAAGAAAGCACTAACATATTACAAGAAGTTTGTGACGCTTTGGAATGGTTTGGAGAATGTTCTAAAGGCATAGTAATCCTTATACAATATTTTACAATAAAAATTTTATTTTTATTATTTAAAGTTTAAAAGATATATATTTAAATCAGTCAATATTTTTATTTCGATACGCACATTAGAATAATATTAAAACTGCGATAAGTTAAAGATTAATACGCGACACTCACACCTTTCCACACGTCATACACATACAATACGTACACGCAATCAAATACAAATTCGAATGAAAGAATACTCATGTATTAGTGGCCACCGTTGATACTTAGACCCAGAAGTTGATTCCACAGGAGGTCAATATAAGCTGTGCAACACAGATGGAACTTTGGTTAAACTGGACAGGAAATATCAATCCAACAGGATATATATTCCAACTGGTCCAGCACTGGATGGAAGCACCACGAATCTCCACAGAATTTGGATTATGTATCCGAGATAAGGCAGAGAAGAGAGTATTATTCGGATTCACTCCGGAATAACGGCACAATAAACAAATTCAATTGATAATAGGGAGTGATCAATTCCCGTTTATAACGACTAGTCAAAATTTGTGAGTCCGACTTTAAGCTCGTCGGGAACTCAACTGCCTAATTTCTTATTTCATGGAACTCTCTCCCCCCAATCTCTAATTACTCTCTCTCCTTGCCAATATTAGGGAATTGACCCATTACAGAATCCCCCAAACTTGATTGACAGGTGCAACCGGAGATCAAGATGCAGCCCCGAAGACACCGCAGCCTCCTTTCCGGATACTTGAAATCTTCTATTAATACATGAGTTTACAATTTTTCCTTTTTACATATATACATTTTTTTTTTAAACCATCTATGCTATTATTTTCAAAAATAATTTTGTGAAATATGTTCGGTCATACTATACAAAATAATTTTCTTACATCCCATTCTATTCATCACTCATTTTTCAAAACCTATATTGTCACTATCGAATCCTTTGAAAAATTAGGCCATCTTTCTCATCGAATTTACAATATTGACTCATAATGCCCCGTAGTGATATACAATGCGATTCATTTAGTAATCAAATTTCGTATATATTTTTCTGTCGACAGTTTTCTTTTAATACAACTATTATCTACAATATTCAATACTTTGTTTACCGTTCAATATATGAATTGCACATAACACTATATTATTTCTAAAACTGTTTGACCAATTTCTATTAAAATTTTTATTCATTTATCTTTTAATTATTTATTTATTTTCATTTCTTTCTTTATTTATTTATTTAATTTTTTTTATATTTACTTAATTAATTTACATATTATTATATTTTTTATACACATTAGACTGGTCGTTAATTTGCGAAATTTTGAATTTCTTTCATTCCACCCCCTAATTCGCTTCCAAATGTGATAAAAATGAGTTACGCGAAAGAAGAGCTCATTTAATTAATATTAACCCGTGCCTGTAGAGGGTTAAAGTTTAAATGGGGTTTAACATAGGTTTAGTGCATTTATTCAGACTTTATATTCTAACTTTTGTTTTTATTGATTTTTTTGTTTACAACTCTGCATATTTACAGTTTAGGATGTGCTAAAACCGAATATGTAGTCAAAAATAAGTTTTGACAGGTGACAGCTGTCAAAAATGCTGTCAAACTTTTTACAAGGAGTATTTAAGTATTTTATTTAATTATTTTACATTCATTTAAATAAGTTTAAGTATTTTCTAGACAATTGAGATCAACCTAAGTGGCAACATGTCTTTTTGACAGTTGACAGCTGTCAGAAAATGTCAAACTTACAAAATTTTAGTTTTTTTAGAAATTTTACCTTTCTTTTTTCAAATAAAATTATTCTTTAGACTACTGAGATCAAACCGAATAATGGAATATCATTTCAACAGATGACAGCTGTCAAATATGCTGCCAAACTTTTGAAAATGAGATTTTTTGAAGTATTATGCAATATTTTACTCAATTTTAATTTTTTTTAAACACTAAGATTTATTTAAATGGCAACATGTTATTTTGACAGATGACAGCTGTCAAAAATGCTAACAAAGTTTTAAAAACGAGATTTTTAAAAGAAAAAAAAGGCTCAACTGTTGATAGCTAGGTCTATTAATACTAACCATAAATAGCGCAGCCCAATACCATGTAATTCTATTATTTTAGTAAAGTTTTCTAATAAACTATAAATCATATTTAACTTACGTTTCATTTATTTTCCACTGTCAACATATACCCAAGTATAAATAAATAGCAAAATATAATTACTGTCTATTTGACCTAAGGATCTTTTAAAAATCTCGTTTTTAAAACTTTGTTAGCATTTTTGACAGCTGTCATCTGTCAAAATAACATGTTGCCATTTAAATAAATCTTAGTGTTTAAAAAAAATTAAAATTGAGTAAAATATTGCATAATACTTCAAAAAATCTCATTTTCAAAAGTTTGGCAGCATATTTGACGGCTGTCATCTGTTGAAATGATATTCCATTATTCGGTTTGATCTCAGTAGTCTAAAGAATAATTTTATTTGAAAAAAGAAAGGTAAAATTTCTAAAAAAACTAAAATTTTGTAAGTTTGACATTTTCTGACAGCTGTCAACTGTCAAAAAGACATGTTGCCACTTAGGTTGATCTCAATTGTCTAGAAAATACTTAAACTTATTTAAATGAATGTAAAATAATTAAATAAAATACTTAAATACTCCTTGTAAAAAGTTTGACAGCATTTTTGACAGCTGTCACCTGTCAAAACTTATTTTTGACTACATATTCGGTTTTAGCACATCCTAAACTGTAAATATGCAGAGTTGTAAACAAAAAAATCAATAAAAACAAAAGTTAGAATATAAAGTCTGAATAAATGCACTAAACCTATGTTAAACCCCATTTAAACTTTAACCCTCTACAGGCACGGGTTAATATTAATTAAATGAGCTCTTCTTTCGCGTAGCTCATTTTTATCACATTTGGAAGCGAATTAGGGGGTGGAATGAAAGAAATTCAAAATTTCGCAAATTAACGACCACTCTAATACACATATATTTACATAAATTTTCATTTTTCGTAATTTTTAATAAAATATTCTTTTACATTATATTTACTTTTATTTTGTGTTTTCCTTTATCTTTTTATTTACCTTAATTGTCACTTTTCTAAAAAGTTTATAAAGATTAAAAAATTTATTACTACATAATGTAAAGTACTTTCAATATACTTTCATATTATGTGCTAACTTTTTAATTTTATAATAAAGAAATATGAAAAATTTCACCTTTAATATTGAATGTTTCATGATTTTCAGTGATTTTAATCACTTATTTCTTCTCAGGTGCAAGACCAAAAAATCCCATTTTTGTCTTAATATTTAAGTTTGACCTTCTTTTCCATTCTATTAAATTTTGGTGATGGAGAACGAGCTACTTTGTAGTTTTATTCATGTTTAAAAAATCTGCTTCCAAAAGCGAGTTTGTTGGTTAAAATGCAGGTAATTTTATAACACTGAAGTTGGCTATCTCAATAGTTTTGCAAAAATCTACTTGCATTTTAACCAACAAATTCGTTTTTTCAGCAGATTTTTTAAGCTGAAAAGTAATTTGTTCTCCATCACCAAAATTTAATAGAATGGAAAAGAAGATCAAACTTTAATATTAAGACAAAAATGGGATTTTTTGGTCTTGCACCTGAGAAGAAATAAGTGATTAAAATCACTGAAAATCATGAAACACTCAAATATTAAACGTAAAATTTTTTATATTTCTATATTATAAAATTAAAAAGTTAGCACATATTATGAAAGTACATTAAAAATACTTTACATTAAATAGTAATAAATTTATTAATATTTATAAACTTTTTAGAAAAGTGTAAATAAAATGTAGTGACTTTTGGCATTTCATAGGTAAATTTTAAAATCAATTTTTATCTATTATTTTAGGTATGTTTACATAATAATCTATTTATACAAGTAAATTAGCTCATTTTTAACAAATATTAATCAAGAAATTTGTATTATCTAAATTATTTCCATGCTTTTTTATTAAATTTTCATAACTGTCAATCTAACCTTTTTACTGTGCAACTCAACTTAAAAATTAAAATTCTAAGTTTAATTCAAAAAATTTTATAAAAGAATTCTCAAAAATGAATTCTATGGATATTAAACATCATTTTTACAAATTATGAGATTTTTTTTAAAATAGGCCACAACGGCTTCAGGTGAAATATAATGGACTGACCCAAGTACATAATGTACGATTCTTCTTTATTTTCATTAAATTCATGTTACATGTATTTATTATTTGCTTTTGCATATCTATTGGAACATTGTGAAATACCACCTCGGATTCCTCTTTCAATAAATAAAATCATGTCTATGTCTGTTAATAATTCTAATTTAACATTTGTCAATTTTAACATTGCATCGAATGAAAGTCCAGGTGCTGTGAAATAATGCAATGGGTCTAAATTGTAAGCTGATAAACAAGTAAATCTAAAATTTTCAAATATATCAGCTAAAAGCAATACATCATTTTTTAAATATAAATCTGAATATTCACCAAGAGTTTTTAATTTAAACGATTCCCATACTTGACAAGCATGTTGATAATCTTCTTGAGAGATATTTGCATCATTTAATTTTGAATAAAAAGAATCTTTAGATGGTAATTGTAGTTCCTCCAATTTTTCCCAAGAATTTATATATTCATACGGAAAAACCCCTTTTCTTGTTAATAAATTAAATTCAATTAAGTTATTACAAAATCTTTTAGTAATTACTTTGCTTTGGTAATCGTATGTATGTAGGCAAGCCAACTTGTATTGGTGCATATCGATTTATATTAACCATCAAATTTACTATTTCTTTTAAAGACCATCCTGATTTTTCATGACTAAAATCTTCACTTTTTTGTAAAAGATATTCAATTACTTCATTAAAAATTATATTAAGGTCTGTTGAAGGAAGAATAATTTTATTTTTTGTATTAAAAAATTTATTTTCCTCAATAATATTTCCATTATCTATGGTTTCGAATTTTAATGTAAGTATTAAATTGACTTTCAAAGCATTATTCTGTTTTAAAGCATTTTTCAATCGAGTTTTTATTAAGGTTTTTGAATTCTCTAAAAACTGAAATGTATCCTTGTGACTTAAATTAATAATTGACCCTGTTCTTATTCTACTTTGAAAAGCTGATTGTATTTCTTCCCATTTTATTCTATTCGATTTTTTATTGCTTTCATTTGTATAACCCTGACCTTCCCTATATAATTGTTTAAATTTCTGATGTATTGCTTTCAAAATTCCTAATATTGCTGTGATTTTACTTTTCTCGCTTACCGTTAAAACATCTTTTTTAACTTTTAAAACTTTATTTGAAAGGCGAATGTTTTGTTTACTTAATTTTATCCACTTTTCCACTTTAATAACAAAATTTTTATTTCTTCGAGATTGTGTTAAAGTATTATAAGCACTTTCCATAATTTTAACAAAACTCTTAATCTCGTTGGAATCCATTTTTGCAAGAGATTAAATCACTTAATAAAATAGATAATTTTTCTTTAAAACAAAAAGAATTTAACGACCACTATCATACAAGTTTTTGTGAATTAATGCGATATCCGAAAAAAAATCATGAGCTTTTATAGTGATCCTAAGAGAAATTCCTACATTCCTGAAAAAATTAAATAATAAAATTAAATAATAAAATTAAATACTTACCTTCATATTGCATATTTTATAT